CAGGGCCAGAGGCAGGACACAGCAGAAGAACATCAGGGGGTGCAAGCCTTCAAGGTATGGTTGGATGGCAGAGGGGCAAGGAGCAACGCTAGAAAGATTCGGTTGAGGGTGGGAATTAGTTGGAAGGCCCCATGTGCCCTCCTAGAGTTTAGGCTTGATCCTGTAGGCAAAGGACAGTCACCAAGCAGAGGAAGCTGAGAGCAGAATGTGGTACTTGTGAGCTACATCAAAATGCTGACTTCTCAATAGAGTTATGTTATCACATCACTTATTGAACTTAAAATCGGAGTGACTGTTGCATGCAAGAAATGACAACAGAGTGAGTTTTTACATCGTTCTCTGCTGTGCAGACTTCCTGCCAATATCACCTTCATCACCCGCACATATGGATGTCTAACAGTAAAAATGGTTTTTTGCATGAATCTTACTTAAAATTGTTCTGAGTATTTGGTTTTGAAGGCTTCTAGAAAACTCGTGCTTTTTGTCCGTTACTGCTCTGCAGGATTGGTGAGGCCAGTGTACTGCTTTCTCTGGGGCTACCAAGGCAGCGAGGATAAAAATAGGACAAACTTTAAGAATCCCAGATATTTTCAGATAACAAAGACTGATTTATGCAGGCCCGCTTCGTGCTCTGACCAAACATAGAGAAGCTTTTGTGCTGTGATTAGCAAGGGTGCTGATGTCAGTTCTCTTGTCAAGCATCAAGCTTTATTCTGTAGCTAAATTGTGCTTTGTACCATAATCCAGAGAACCTTTGTATCTGCCTTATTTAAGTGTGTAGTTTATGTAATTGCTTTTGTTTTCCAGTTTCATCGGTGCCAGATTCAATGAGAATGACTCATTTTGCGACCGAGACAAACATTCACATTTGGACCATGTTAAAAATAAATAAATAAGTGGCAGGTGCTGCTTGGTGAAAATTCTGTGTTTTAGTGCAGTCATTTCCTGCTGGAAGGGTTCACGTCTCGAATTATGTCTCAGCCTCTGCAGTCGCTAGCCCAATATCTCTTATTCCTCAATTTATGGCTATTCATTTCTTGGCTCTTTTAGTTTCTAAAGGCTTTGTTGAATTTGAACAATGGGATTTCAACAGGAAAGCAAAGGAATAGATAAGAGAAACCTAAAGAACACACACACACACCTTCTTTTGTTTCTCTGAGGTGATTATGGATGTGCTTTGGTGCAGTTAGGTATCGTGTCAAGCTCTGGAACTCTTTTCTCCAGTGGAAGGGGTTTTGAAAGCAGTCCTTTCTTTTTATCGTGACCTGTACACCAAATTTAATATTCTCAAAAGTTTTACAACTTTATTTTCTTAGGGGAATTCTACTTGTTTATTGTACAAATATTTCTGAGTTCCAGGCACTGGGCCATGTGTGGGGTATGTAATGGCGTATCAAGCAGACATGGTCACATTATCTTCTTGAACCTTTCAACCTGGCTAGGGGGTTAGATGCTAAATAAATAAATACAAAGAAAAACTGAATTGCAGGCATTTATAAATCACAACAGAGGCAAGTAATAGGGTCCCCAAAATTATACCCTGCTTTACCTTGGGGTTGGTTGGGTTGAGGGTGGTTGGGGAAGGAAAGGCTGAAGATAGGAATTGATCATCCAAAGACCATGGGAGAGAACAAATACTGGATTTAGAAAACAGCATGTGAAAAGTCCCTGAGCAGAAAGGAGTTTGGCCTCCTGTAAACCACATTATCAAAAAAGAGAAGTGGCAATTAAGAGAGAAAAGATAGAAAAACTGCATTTAAAAGATTATGAATGAACTATACAGGCACAGCTGTATGGCATTACTTAGAGGCCCAGAAGCCTTTGAGATCCACATAAAATGCAGTATAGAAACTGATGCCTGTACTACTTAGCCTGAGTCATCAGGGAATGGAGGAATTATGGGCAATAAATTATGTAGTAAGGCATTTTAAAAAGATTTCCTTACAAGACATTAAAGTTTTAAAAAGTCAATTCTGTATTTAAAGACAGAAACTCCACTATCTAGAAAAATCACTAACCCAAAGATAGGATTCCTTGATGGACCTGGATAAATAATCTTCTTTTTTTTCTTTTCCCTTTATTTGTCCATTAATCTCTCAAGCTTACTGCTTGAGAGGTGTGTTAATCAGCCCTTACTGCTGGGTGTGGTAGTTCATGTAATCTCAGCGACTCAGGAGGCCGAGGCAGGAGGAATCAACCTAGTGAGATCCTGTCTTAAAATAAAAAGGGGTGAGGATGTGGCTCCATGGTTAAACATCTTTGGGTTCACTTCCTGGTACAAAAAAAAAAAAATCAGCTGATACTGTGACAACACATCTGAGAAAAACAAGGAGGAAAGATCTATTTTGGCTCACGGTTTCAGAGGTTCAGTCCATGACCAGCGGGCTCCATTGTTTCTGGGCCTGTGATGAGGCCATACTTCGTGGTGGAAGGGTGTGGCAGAGCAAAGCAGAGAGAGAGAGAGAGAGAGAGAGAGAGAGAGAGACCCTTCCAGGGCATGCCACAAGTGACCTACTCCCTCCAACTAGACTCCACCTCCTGCGGTTTCCACCACCTCCCAATGGTCCATTCATTTATGAAGCCATCAATGGATTAATCCATGATGAGCTGAGAGCCGTTGGTCCTATCACTTTCCCAAAGCCCCACCTCTGAACATTGTGCACTGCGGACCCAGCCTCGAACACAGGAGCCTTTGGGAGACCTTCCAGATCTAAACCGTAACAATAGGGAAGTATCTGTAGAGAACCAACTCACAGATGGTTTCTATTTATTTTTAAATAAATAGGAGTATATCAAATGAGTGGATTTTTATAACCCAGTACCAGATTTGTGTGAATCTAACATGTTGTGACTTTTCAATATCATCTAAAACATCTATAGAACTCTATTGTCTTTCTCCTTCTGATACCAATTCTGTACTTTTTCATTTGAACTGCAATAAGAATTTAACTTAAAATATCGATGTTTTAACATTCTGTGGCCTTGATGATTTTTTTTTTTTTTTAGTAAATTTCTTGTTAAAGGATTGCAAGTTTTTCTGTAAAGGAGTGCTTATCCACTAAGCAATATTTCTGTAGCTACTTTGCCAGGGTTGCTGTGTTCCAAAGTATTTATTTTCATTTATGTTAAATATTTTCTCCACAATTTTTTTTGTTATTTTACACAAGGCATTTATTTGTTTGTTTATGTATTTATTTATGGCTTACTTTTCTTTTTTAAAAATTTTTTTCTCCACAATTAGAAAACACCTCGAGGGTAGGAATCATGAATTTCAAACTTGTCTCTCTTCCCACAAGTACCTTATACAGTGTCTTCAGAAAATTCAATTACTTGTTGAGTAATTCATTGATTTTCTTTAATGGATATAATTTAAAGAATCTCTGAAAACATTAAGCCTAAAGTTATCACCCACATTATTTTGGTTGTCAGTTGTCCACATTACTAGAAGGCTGTATGGCTGGTTTGTGGATTGCTCAGGGTCCCTTCCTCCTCATTTTCTGTCTCTGCCTCAGATCTTTGCCAGAGCTTCCTAGCCCCTCCATTAGGGAACCACAACTCAAAATCAGTTCATTTCAGAAGTTTATTATACAATTTAGTGAAGATGGAGGCAAAGACGAAACAACTGCCTGAGAAGTGTGTGTAGATTTTAGTTATCGATCCTCTTTTTTTCCCCTTTCACATTTTTTTTCAGAATACAGTGAAGCCATTTTTGAAACTGTCACTACAATACCTTTGTGTTATATTTGCCAGACTTTATGAGACAAAAAACACTCTATCATGTCATACTCATGGCTTTCTCTATTGCCTTGGATGGTTTTAAACTTGGTCAATATTTTCTTATAAATAGATATATATGTTAATGAAGACAGAAATACTGTTTTGGGGGAAATTGGCCTATGTTAACAGCCCCAGCAGGAGCTGTCGTCTTGGTCTGATTAGACTGTAGAGCATGGAACTCGTGTACCGTGATGAGTAAAATTTCTAAAATTCCTGTAGGCACAGGGCTGTCATCATACCAGTTGTTTCACTGGAAAAGAGACTTTCTCTTGCTGGTCCTAATTTTCCAAGACTAAAGGATTGTGACATTGTAACTGGTGCTCAGAGTCTGTGGGTGAGTAGGAGGAACAGTGAGGACATGTGCCTTCAGTGGGGTTCATAAAATGTCACGGTTCTCTGCCCTTGCACTTCCTGGAATGTCCTCTTTGGGCATTCTAACCTCGAATGTTCCGTCAATAAGAGTACAGAGTGTCTATTAGTAGGTGATTGAGACTTATCAGCCTGAGAGGAGACAATCTAGGTTTTGTTTCTAGGCACAGATGTTAGGGTTAAGGACTGATAAAGAAGACTCCATCATTGGATTCTGCTTTTATTATTTGATGAAGCACCTTCATGTGTGTATTTTATAGCACGATATTAAGGCATGGAAAATCATTGCTTTTAAAAAAATGTAAAATATATACAACATACAATTTACCATTCTATTTTTTAAGAATACGGTTATTAAGAACATTCACATTATTGTACATCCATGACCACTATCCATCTCCAGAATTTCTTCTTCTTTCCCACCTGAAACTCCTCATTCTCCCTTCCTGCTGTGAATGTGACTACTCTAAATACCTCACATAAGTGGAATCGTACTGTAGTTGTCCCTTGGTGAATGGCTTATTTCATTGAGTATCATGTCCATATTCATTTTTCCCAGCATCATTTATTGAAAGCATTACTTTTTTATATGTAGTAAAAAACTAAACCTTCATTGGTTTGTTGACTTGATATATCATAGGATAGTTAATAGAAGATACAAGTATATATATCAAAAAGTTCTTATGAGAGATCAATAAGCTTTGGTGTTCAGAGTGGAAGATCATCCTATGATAACTGAAAACCATTGTGACTTTTCTAGATGGTGCATTTATAATACTGGCTTGATAAATGTGTAGCTTCTGGAAATTTTTCTCTGCAATTAATACTAAGTGGTGATTTTGTTTTTTTCCTAGGCATGGAAGAGGAGGTGGTTTGTGTTACGCAGTGGCCGTTTGACTGGAGATCCAGATGTCCTGGAGTATTACAAAAATGATCATGCCAAGAAGCCCATCCGTATCATCGATTTAAATTTATGTCAGCAAGTCGATGCTGGATTGACATTTAACAAAAAGGAATTTGAAAACAGCTTCATTTTTGATATCAACACTATTGACCGGATTTTCTACTTGGTAGCAGACAGTGAGGAGGAGATGAATAAGTGGGTCCGCTGTATTTGTGATATCTGTGGGTTTAATCCTACAGAAGAAGGTAAGTTCAAGATTTTATTACCCAACTTCAGTTCTCTTTTTTTTGCTATGTATTTAGAGGTGCCATAAAACTCCTTGTTAAATTCAGTTATACACTGTTTTGTTTTGCAATAGGAACCTGACATTTGGGGAAATCATGGGACTCTTCCTTAATCAGTGTGGACAGAAACTTTTTTTCCCACAGGTTTGAGAGAGAGAGACTTAACAACCATTGCAGGGCAGTGTGTAAGTAATTGTCCTGAGGAAGAAGGGGTCAGGAGGACATTCTTAAGTACATTTATTGAGTTTTGACATTAGTATTTTAATAGTGTTGATATATGACTGTTTTTACCGATTAAAATGTCAAAAATTTTATGCTTCATCCCAGTTCTTTAGGCATTATTTTAAAAACCACATTAGGTTTTAAAGTTATGAAGTAGCCGAGGTGATTATCAATACCTAGGAAAAGCAAATGAGAATCAAGCACAAAACACAATGAAAAAGAGCACAGAGAAGGAAGAGGGGGCTCAAGGTATGGATAAGCAGGAGTAGAGGACAGTTTCCCAGGAGAGGAGTTGCGGGTTTCAGGCTTGGAAAGAAGTAATGTTTCCATGTGGGTGGAAACAGCCCTCCAGGTTTAGGCACCTGGGAAGGAAAGAACTCCGAGGTGAAATAGGTTCATACTGCGCAGAAGGGCCATGGGTAAAAGAGGCAAAGGGACAGCTGCTTTCAGATCTTGACTTTCCTGGAAAGAGCTCAGCTGAGTGGGTGGGGGTCTCAGGTGGAAGTCTTGTTCAGGTACTCTCAGAGCTGTTTGACCACTGAGTCCCTGTCTGCTTCTCTTCCTTTTCAAACATGCACTCAGAACCTGTGTAGGGGACTTCGATATAGATTTAGTTTTATAGAGCCAAGAATCAGAAATGAAGGTGTACCGAGGTCTTCAACCTTAGTGTCTTCAACTTGTCCCCTGTATCCCTGGGGGATGCGGTCCAAGATTCCCTAGTAGATGCCTGAAGCACCTGTTCAGGATACTACTGAGGATACCATGAAGTATCATTGTGATGGATCTTCTGTTTAAATCATGTGTCATCTTATAATCGTTTTGTGGTTACTGTTGTTCCATTTCCCTGCTGACTTTTCAATTTGGAATTTGTTTGGGGGACCTAAGAGCAGAATTCCATCTCCATTGCTGCCTGCATAGATTGAGCTGATCTGCAAGGCTGAGTAGAAGTGTTCTTTCATATTTCTTGGTTCTTTTTATAATCCTCTGAAATATTTTAATAAAGGAAATGAGATGCTGTATTAGAAGATGTGCATTCTTCTTTCAAGGAAGGTGAATGTCTGGTTTTTGGAAGCCTATTCAGTATTGGGTAAAGTTGAGAACTCCCAAAATAAGAATTTCTAAATGTTTGTTTATGAGATTAATTTTGCAAGTTTTAAGGCACAGAGTCTCTGGTTTGTTTGACCAACTTAAAATATTTCTTACCATCCAGGAGATAAATGAACAAGCAATCAGATCTGGGAAGAACAAAAGCTTGGTATACTTTAGAAAATGGATTCATTAGTTCACCAAAATTATTTGGGTTTGCTAACACTCCATTAGGTTGCAGGTGCTCGTTCAACACACACATATTAAGTGACTAGTTAGGGAGACAGATGGTAAACCTCACTGACATGGAACTGAATATCTAGTGGGAAATTATTCCTTATAAAAAATGTCCAAAATAATGCATTACATTTGTTGATGGGTGCAAGTTCATGTGTGTATACTACACGATCTAGTAGATGATCCAGAATTATAATACCTAGTGATAAGTGCCCTGCACTTAGATAAACATAGATGGCAGCAGCTCCTAATTTAGTCCTGAGGGTCAATAGAAGCTGAGGTAGTTTTAAACTGCTCTGTTACTGTCACCGATCGTGTTCTGAGAACTCTGGTTTTGTACTTAGCGAAACATTTCATTGATTTTAGAAGTCAGAATCACTCAGTCACAATGTCTGTTTTCACTTTAAAAATGTTCTACCAGTATAAGGAGGAGTGAAGTTTTAAAACTTAAAAGCTTCAGTGACCTTTTTGGTGGCAAACTCACTAGTCCTTACAAAGCACATTAGAAGTATATTTGGGTTGAATGAAATTCTTAACTTTTGAACCTCTTATCAAAGCAATATACATAAAGGGTGAGCAATGAAGTATCAATCAGGTTTGATATGTATGGTTTGTGACTTGGTTACCAAAGGCAGCTGTGCTAATCACATATCATTTTTATCTGCTCCTTAAAACAAGCCCCAGGGACTTTTAATTTGCTAATACTTTCTATAGTTAGTTCAGAGCTATATTTATATACAACGGCACTTATGTTTTAGGTTCTATTATTTAGATTTTTTACAGCTTCTTCCTGGACATCTGCCCCCAAATAACCTAATTAGAACTGTTTGTAATATAGTTAAGTATATATTGAGGTTATAGGAAAAAATTGTATAAAGTGAATTGTTCATCATTATGTAGTATCATAATGAAGTGTACTTCATTGTACTCTACAGTTTAGGTTTTTAATGTATAGTGGCAAAACTGCAAAAATGCTATAAAACTAACTACTATACTTCCTTATGCATTTGTAGTGTAGACTAAATACCTTTTGAAAAAAAAATAGCCTAGCATGAGGAAAGCTTTGAGTTCAATCCCTGACACTACATACACACACAGTAAATGAATAAAATAACATCTAAAGATTTGTCTGAAATGCTAACAGCAGCAAATTGCTATAATACTTTGTAATTGTATTCATATAGTTTAATATAAGGTAAGAATCAAAATAGCTTTGTTCTTCCATTAACCTTATTGCCTGGGTTATATTCCCTTTTTTCCAACTAGACCTCTCTGCCCATCACGAACAGTATTTTTGTTTTTACCTAGATCTGTCCCCTGTGCCCTGTGCTCTTCCCGTTTTGGAGGGCTGAATATGCTCCCATTTTGAGCTCAAAAAGTGGTCAATAACATGAGATGATTTTCTTCACTGTGCTAGTTTCAGACCAGATGTTGGAAAAAGTAGACTGTGCTTGGATATCAGTCTGAGAAAATAACTATCCACAATCCCTGTGAGAATAACTAGTTTTTCCCTGAAAACAAAAGGAAAGGGGAAAAATCCGACCTGTGTTTTGATTCCAGGAACCTCTCAAAATATCGTTACCATGTTATTTCCGCTGCCCCAGGTGACCACTGCTATTATTGAATACTCAAAGTGCTGGCAGGCTGTATCTGTTTTTAAATTCTAGCTCATTGAACTGTGTGTGGTTCCTATGAATGCTTTTCTTCAGTAGATTTGAGGGTAGAAACTAATTTCTTTTGTTTTTCTTGGAAATGTGCAAATTTATTTTTATTTCCACACCACCAAGGTGGAAGCTGTTAAATCTGCTAAACAAGTCCTGGGAAGCACAGCCCAAGGGCCATAGGAAGCTCACTCAGTTCTCTAAAGGCCTCTGGGCTAATTTTAGGATGCAAGATTAGAAAGTTGCCTCTGAGTTTTTTTTTCTTTATTATTATTTTTTAAAAATGCCCAGATTATAGTGGCTTAATTAAAAAAATAAAAAGTGTGATTCTCTGTTTTGATATGCTTCCTGATAGACAAGCATTTACGATTATATATACACTTCCTTTCTTAGAAGCAGTCTTTCTCAATTGAGGACTTTTAAATTTCTTTTCCTTTGCTTTTTTATTGAGATTTAAATTGCCACTATAATCAGTATAGATCTTAAATGTGCTGTTCAAAATAGCTTTATATATCTATGTCTATACATAGAGACGTCTGTATAGCTGCCCAGTATTAAGAAATAGAACATTTGCACTCCCCTGAAATTCTCCTTTCTGCCTCTTCCAAGCAGAGCCCCCACCCAAATGTATTTTTATTTTCCTTTTGCTTTGACTGCCGTCCATTCTTTTTTGCCTATTCTGTATTTATTTCTTCTTTTGTGTGTGTTACTGGGCATCACACCCAGGCAGGGCCTCACACATGCTCTCTGCCACCGAGCTACATCCCCAACTCTTTTTCTTATTTTTTGAGACAGGATCTCGATTTGCTCAACTTGGAACCCTCCTGCCTCAGCCTCCCAAGAGCAGGGATTACAAGTGTGCACTTGAGGCTGAGTTTTACCTTTTTTTTTTTTTTTTTAATACTAGGGATTGAACTAGGGTCATTTAACTACTGAACAACATCCCCCGTCTTTTTTTTATATTTTCTTGAACTTCATGTAATGGAACTATGGAGTCAGGCTTCTGTTTTCCAGTATTAAGACCACAAGACTCATCAAGGTTATAGCATATATGCATTTCTTCATCTTTTGCAGCATTCCATTGTGTGGATACCACACTTTATGGATCTGTTTGAATGCTGAAGAACATTTGGGTTGTCTTCAGTTTTTTTTTTTTTTTTTTTGGGTACTTGGAATTGAACCCAGGGGTGCCAAACCACACAGCCATATCTCCAGCCCCTTTTTTAAATTTTTTTTTTTTTTTTGAGACAAGATTTCACTAAGACCTTAGGGCCTTACTAAGTTGCTGAGGTTGATCTTGAACTTGAGATCTTCCTGCCTCAGCCTCTCAAGTCACTGGGATTACAGGTGTGCCTCACCATGCCTGTCTTACATGTCTTTTGATAGATATCAATGTCTAGTAAGTTCTTTGGGTATATACGCATGAGTAGAAATGCTGCATCCTAGGATAGCTATAGATTTAACCTTAGCAGATTCAGTAGCTTTAATTCTCCAAAGCCATTGTACAATCGCGATTGCTTTCCTACCTGCAGAGTATGAGAATTCCAATTATTGCATATTGTTACCAACATTTGTTACAGTCAGCCTTTAATTTCAGTCATTCTAGTGGGTGTGCCATGATATCTCATGGCTTTAATTCACATTTGCTGGAGGACTAATTCAATCAAAGCTTGAGTTTGTTTTTTTCTGTTTTATTACACACTTTCAAGCTACTGTCCCTGAGATCTTGGTTCACCGAGTGTCCTGTGTTGGGGCCCAGGCAACTAGATCTCTAAAATACCCCCCAAATGATTCTGATGCCATCATAACTCTAGATAAGTATCATGGCATTTGTCAGGATTGCCTAACAATTTGAAGTCTCTAAGAATGTTTTTGCAGTCTATTGAAGAGAGTCACGACAAATAAGAACTTTTTTCTACTTGACACATTAAACATATTGTGTAATAATTTAATAGTTGGATTAAATAAGCTGAAAAACTGCAGTTGGTTTCACCAACAGTTGCTACTGCTGCTGCTTCTTGTTGCTATCCATTTGTCAGATTTACCTTTATAAAATGTTCTTCCATAAAAATGGTGTATTCATTCAGGGCTGGGACTGTGGATCAGTGGTAGAGTGCTCACCTAGCACTTGAGAGGCCCTGGGTTCAATCCTCAGTACCACATATAAATAAAGGTATTGTGTGCAACTACAACTGAAAGTAAAATAAGTATTTTTTTAAACAAATGGTATATTCAGAAGTGAGAAGATGGTTATATTAGTGTTAATGATAATGAATACTCTTTATAGACTCTTATTTGCCAAGTGAGACATAGATCTATTCAAAATTATTCTTTTTTAAGAAATATTTTTTTGTTGTTGTAGATGGACACAATGCCTTTATTTATTTATTTATTTATAATTTGGTGCTGAGGATCGAACCCAATGCCTCACACGTACTAGGCAAGTGCTCTACCACTGAGCCACAATCCCCATCCCAAAATGCTTCTTCTTAAAAGAAAAATTTTACAGCACACCAGATAAATCAGGAATCAGTAGATACAGAATAACCTTGACCTATTTACCATTAATTGCAATCATAAAAGTAAGACTTTCACAATAGAAATAAAAAAAATAGGGAAAAAAAAAACAAATTTTGTATCAACAGACACAGCCCACCCTTAGAGGAAACACTCTCATCTGGTCTCCTGATAAGAACAGAGGAGCAGCTCCACAGTTTCATGACTGCATGCTCAGATGCAATAAGTCAGTGGTTAAAAAATTAACCTATGCCATCAACTCCGCAAAATTCTGCTTTACCAATAAAGAGAGTAGAATTATTTCCTACTTGTGTCATTTCATTTTGTTAAATGAGTAATTCTTTTGAATATCCAGAAGCATTATCTAGCTTCCCCAACTTCTTGAGGGACCCTAAAAGCAGACATGATGACTCCAAATAGGATAAAACTAAAGCAGAGGGTAGAGTGGCGTGAGCCAGTTTCTAATGTTTTGGATCTCATCAAATCATAATCTACTTCTCTCCACTGAAAATTTGTACACTGAAAGGCTTTCCTTAGCAATGTTTATTAGCTTTCTAAGTAAATTTCAATTAGGACTTCCCTCCAGTAGCCTATTAGGCCTATAATAAATGTTCATTATACTCTTCAAGTCTTCCGAATTAAGAAGTAGGAGATTATTTTTCATGCTCAAGCAAACCCTAAACCAATGTTTGGTTCTTAGAAGTTTGATACTAGCCTTCCTTAGAGCAGTAATTCAGAAGTGTGAGCAAGGAGGGGAACAGAATGGCCTGTTCCATTATTTGTGGTGTAGAGATAGGTACAAGTCAACATGTTTATAAGATGAAGAGAAGTTTTTTTTTTTGTCTTAGACCAGTCATTAAACTATAGAGAGAAATTGTCAGAGAATATTTAGACACTGTGCATTGCTTGTATTAAAATTTCAGAGCTGAGCTATAGTCAAATTAACATGACTGAAAAGAACCCAGAGACCAAAATGTTGAAAATGTTGTGTTATCTGAGCCCAAGTGGCAGAGTGGTCTCTGCAGCCCTGTTAAGAGTCCTGTGTGTGCCAGTGTTGTCTGCAAGGGGAGGGGGTGGCTGTTAATGGATGTTTAAAGGTCTTTTCTTTCATGAGCTTGCTCGTGAACAACATGGGAATTTTTCTCTAGCTCTTGCCTCTTTTAATGTTCATGCAGTATATAAATGAGATACTTTTGAAAAAGGAAAATCCCAGGCCTCTTTAAAGAGGTTAAAATGCTCTGATCATTTATAGGTAGGAGATATGGAAGGTTAGAAATGAGATGGTCCCCTTGTGTTAATAAAACAAGGTCAGACTGTGGTTTCCTGGCCAGGTGGATTTTCTTTTCCCACTTAAGATGAATCACTTAATTCATTTAGGGTTTAGCCATCAAGTTTAGAAAAAGTATTAAGGGAAAAGTGTATCTATAAAAACAGTCACTAGAATTCATATGATTTTTATAGGGTGAAGGATTGTCAGTGTTTAGTTTTATTTTGTTTTGGTGAGAACTAAAAATTGAGCTAGATTACTGAATTTTACTGTGCCTCTACTATAGAGGAAAAGAGAAACATATAAAATACACTTGTGGATACAACCCGTAGGATAATTTAACTGCCTTCTCCTTTCTTCCTTCCTAGTGTTGTATATATTTTTCTTAAGCTTGTCTTTAAAAGGTAGATATTTTTCATGGCTCTCTTAAATCCAGAGGGATTTACTCTGAGTCACTATTTAATCTTTAGCATTTTAAATCTCCTTGAATTAAATCTGTGTATTCACAACCGCATCAAAAGAGTAATACATTTCAGAAGGTATATTACATACATTGCTTTGTAATCAGCCTAGGTTGTTAGACAGGACAACAAGAGTTTGTGAGTACCCACTGAAATTATGACATCATTATGTAAGTGTCCAAAAATTTACTCTTACCATTTCTGTTCTCATCCTCTTGAAAAAGAAAGAATTCATTAACTCCTGACACAAGGTGTTAGAGTTTGTTAGGCAAGCCTGTAGGAAGACTTGACCTTACCTGGAGCATCACAAAGATTAAAAAGTCAGAAATTAGTTCAACCTGTTTGCTCAGATCATATTCTCTAATTGAAAGAAGTTTTCAACCCTTATGAGCATCCAGAAGGGCTCACGGAGTTCTCGAGAAGCAGATCCTAAACTGTGTGTGCAGGTAGAGGAGTTGGAAGAATCTCTTGCTCTAATCTCTTCTGGTTTGACAGAGAGAAGGTACTCAGGGAGTTTCTACCTCAGATTGAAACATTTCCGCCCCGCCCCCCCAACATCTGTTTCTGAACCTCTGTTTGCTATTGAGTCACAACTGGGGATACAGTTATATTTAGACCTCACAATTAGAAACCTACCTTCAGCACCTGAAAGAGTTGTAAAATGAATAGACTTGTGTATGCTGTTTATGGGAATATTATAGTTAAATACATAAGGACATTATCACAAGCAAGTATCTAAAGAAGACAGTTTACAGTGATCCCTTCTCTGGTGAATGCCTAGGTCAGGTGACCTCGATCCCATTTGATAGAACATTAATTCCCTTACCTCTTTTAACATCTTTCACATAATGTTTTGTTGAAAAAAAAAAAAGTCAATTTTAACTCAGCCTTTTCTGTGCAAACATACACAGGCGACAAACAAATTTGTTTATTTATATCTGGAACATTTACCTTTTTCTGGGTTATTTATAGCCTTGTATTCCTCACCAAACTAACAGAGTATATGCCTTCTGGGCCCTTAAAATTATACTTGGTTATGTCAGTAATTACAGAGGGATTTTATTTCTAGATTTTCAACTTGTTTTCAAATTACCTCCTTCTACACAATGTAGTTAGCTATTTTCATGTGTCTTTTCAGAATAGGGCTTAATAAAGTACTTCTCCTCCACTTTCCTGAAAATGTTCCTTGTGCCCACTAACTGGCAGAGAAAGCCATGAGCTAAAAGACAGGGTGAGGCCTTAAAGAAGCCCTTTCCCTGGACATGAACAGAATCCATCAGTCTCAGAATTAAAACTATTTCTCCCTAGTCCTGCCAGAAGTATAAAGAAAAGATGAGCAGTAGAATAAATGCAAGAGGAAAAGCAGCCCTGGGACTCAGCAGCATGTCACCGTGTCACCAAACAGGTCTCCAGCTTAGGAAGTGACATGTTTTTTATCAGGGGGAAAAAACTTGCCTCGCATGCACAAGGCCCTGGGTTTGTTCCCTGGCACCACAAATAAATAAGTAAATAAATAAGTAAATAATCTGTCCTTCTGCTAAGATTGTAGAGCACTTTCATTCAGTAGCCATAAAACTAAAGATTGTCTAAGTTGAGATTTTTAGAGCCCCTGGTACATTTTCGATCTCCTTGACATGAACAAATCTCTTCCTAAATGTTTCCATTTGGTAGTGTTTGTTTTACCTTTGTCATGGTCATTCTGTTTTGGTGTGCTGAAGTAATTTCACTCCAAACTTAAAGTAGTTTTGCTTAATAACAACAACAGAAAATGTTCTTAAAATGGGACGGACAGTGAGAGTTAAACTTTGGCATTGCAGATCCCGTGAAGCCACCTGGCAGCTCCCTGCAAGCACCAGCTGATTCACCTTTTGCTATAAATACGGCACCACCATCTGCCCAGGTGGATCCATCCTCCACAGCTCTACCTCCTTCCTATCAGCTAATCAGCCTTCCACCACACCCGGAAACTCTTGGCACCCAGGAGGATCCTCAAGACTACCTCTTGCTGATCAACTGTCAAAGCAAGAAGCCTGAACCCACCAGGTAAGTCGTTTGTGCCTCTGTGTGTGTGTGCGTGCGTGCGTGTGTGTGTGTGTGTGTGTACATTTAAAAATCTTACCTTTAAACGTTTCAACCTTGACTTGAAGGCTTGAAAGAAGCCATCTTCATAGGCTTACCTGGTAGCATTGTATTTCAGGCCTATATCCCTCCATTAATGATTTCTGATATTCAGGAGGTTTTATTGAAGAAATATAATATAAGCTGTCTGTGGCAGACACTTGTACTTCCAAGACTCTTGTGAAGACAGGCTACTGTTTCAGTCTTTCTTAGAGACTTGCAGTATTACTTGCTTAACAGAGTTCACTGATTTGTAAATGGTGATCTTGCTCCATTTCTTATGTGATTATAAACCAGCCATGGGTCATCTTTTGTTTCTGAAGAAGGAGAGGAATACCTACTACTAGAAGATTTTGAAAGCAAAACGATTCCATTGCAGTGAGTGTGTTGTAGTTCTTTTGGTCTGTGTGAGCAATTATTCTTACAGGTAAAATCCCAATATGGCAGATTCTATGGAATTATAAAATTGGAGTTTAGAGAAATTTGATGATATTACATGTAATGCTTAAAGCAATGAAACTTTCAAATCTTTATACCAAACATTGAAGCAGCACTTAGCCCAAGCCTTGACCTCTCAAATTTCCAAGTAGAAAGAAGCATATGGATTGCGGTGCTTGACCACAGGGGCCATAAGTCCTTCCCCAATCCCTGGGTAGCCTGCCATCTCCCTCCCTCCTCCCACTCTTCTCTCCTCTTACAAGCTGTAAGATAATTTTAATTTGATCATCCTTGACCTTTGATGTCGTGGTTGGAGGCTTAAAGTGACAGAGGGAGTTTGAGAGCAGTTGTTTTACTCTTTTAAAAGAAGCAAGAAAAGGATCTCTGCTATTAACAGCCATGTGACCATTAGTGACATCACCATCAAGTGGTATATTTATGAGCAGTATAAAAATGGGGTGACTTGCATATTAGACTGGAAAGGTGTTTTTGAAACGGTTGTAGCATTCTACTGTCATGTGTAACTAATTAGAACAAATTTTAAAAATTAAAAAAAAGCTGTAAGTTATTAAGTCTTATTGCTTTTATGACATAAAAAGCTTTCATTTAAAAAGCAATTATTAACAAAAATTTAAGTAGGGTTTGTTAAAATCCACATAATAGTTTCTGTGAATTATTTCCCAAGGCGACAGAAGCCTCTCACAAGCATTCCAAAGATGGTTTTTTGTATATTTGTTGTAATGGGATTTTACCTGTAAGAGCAAGAAAATTTTATAAATCAATACTAGTTAACAGTATCAAATTCTAACTGATTGTGCTTGTTTGCTGTGAGAATTTAAAATTACACACTTGCAACTTTGTTCCCTGTGCTACTAACGAAGATTTTACTTCTGGAAATTCACTGTTACTTTCCAATAGCACTTTTTAAAGCCAACAGCAAAATGACAGGTTTCAGAACATTTTTTTTTTTCCTTATGTTAGTGTCTTTCATTGATTTCCCTGGTTTCAGAATGTTTCTGTTGCAGTGTAAATTATGCTTCAAATTATGCTTTAAATCATCACCCAGATATATTTTGCCATCAGTATTTTGTATAAGTGACAGTAAGACACAGCAGTCCCCTCAGATACAGTCGCCTTTGGAGTTTGTAAGTGAAGCTTATTAAGAAGTCCAAGAAGAGAAGCATTAAGTGTTTATAGGTAAAAACTCATGTTCAGTGCCCCCAGCTCAGACAAGAGCTCCTCTAGGAAGTATTTTCCCCAAACTTTTAGGTTAGATTAAATGTCTTTCTTGAGTTTCTGTGCTCAAATGGTTTCCCCATATCTCTGTTTTATCATAGTATTGGAAATAGCTTGGTAGTTTTATTTTTCTCCACTAAACATTAAGTGACAGTAGGAAGTTTTGCTTACCACTAATTATACCCCTAACGTCTCTTAGCTTCTCCATTCGTGAAAATTCTAGATTATGCAAATTTTAGATTATGCATAGGTGCATTCAAAATTCCATCAAGGAATGGTCTAAGTGTTTCTAAGATGAAGAAAACAGTAAGAAATCTCTTCAGAAGAGTAGGGTTTGACCTGTACCTAGTTGGTGTGAGAAAAGGAGCATATCATTAGTAATTCATAAAAAAAATTTCTTGGGGTAAAAGAGATGTGAGCACAGTAGAAAGAAGATGAAAGGAGAGCCTGCTTGGGAAGAGGTTGATTTGGGGAGGAAGAGGACGTGGAACATGGAGCCAAGTTACATTTGTGGCCTTATAGTTCCTACAGCCTGGAGGGACCTAATCGGTTTTCCATTGAGGATTTGAATAATATAAAAACTCTATTTTTGAAAATATGTCTCATAGCAATGTGGTCTGATGGATGGGTTGGAAGAGGGAGACACTAGGGGTTAGGCCACTTAGGAAGGTTCAGTACAGTAGATGTCACCAGAACTATATGAACCCAGAATTTACCAAGAATACACAAGTAGAAATGTCAGTTTGAAAATGTGGAACTCAGGATTTGGGGAGAATATGGGATTTGTCAGCATTTAGAGAAGAAAGTAAATGTATGAAAAACAGGGTTTTTCTAGCAGCATGTGTGGTGACTAAAGGCCTGGACTCATTCCCATCTGGAAAGGCACAGGGGGCGGGGCTAGTCACTGAAAAGAGGGCAATGATCAGGGAAGGAGAAGAAACATTGGGTTAGCACAGTATGGGTTCTCTGATATCCTGGGGTGAGAGTTCCAGTGGGCAAATATACTGTACAATGCCCGATGTTACTAAGCAATTTAGGGAAGAGAAGCACTTTTTTAAAAATCTCAAGTTATTTAGAGAAAGAGTTTAAATTCCTGCAGGACTTTGGACAACATGTATGGGTAGTTCAGGTATCTTGTTTGTATGGTCAACTTCATCATGGCTTAAACCAGTTTTGTGATACCTCAGAATACAGAGATGGAAAATGTACCCAAAGCAGAAATACTCTCAAATGAGAAATATCGAGGTTAATTATCATCTGGAGTTGGTGAACTCTACCTCATGTATTTTGATCCTCTCATAGAGTTAACTATAAGTTTATTAAAGGAAATTAGGATAAGGGAAGATATGGGAAACCCATTAAGTTGCCACCTCCTTATGGGTCTCAGTGGATTTCCTCAGTACCAGGCAATCATTTGGCGTTTAGTTCTGCAGAGTCACAGATTTGCCACAGGCACGTTCCAAAGCCGTGGATCAACGTGATGAACTGGACGGGCACCAGGTGTCTGCATGTTCTTGATAGGAAACTTCTCCTTGTCTCTGTGCCTTCTTCATTTTCCTTTCCCAGACACTCATAATATCTGTCTAATGCAGGGCTTTAGGGACTGTGGTTTTTTGTTTTGTTCCATTTTGTTTTTGTGGTGCTGGGGATTGGACCCAGGGCCCTATGCATGTGAGGCAAGCACTCTACCAACTGAGCTATAGCCCCAGCCCAGGATTGTGGTTCTTATGTGTGAATTTCATAGGGAGACTTGGGGAAGCGGGCAGGTATAGGGAAGAAATTACTACGCTGCTGGTGGTTTGTGGTGGTGGTTTTGTTGTCTTGTAATCATACAAAAACTAAAGAACATTTGTGCTTTAAATCTCCAGATCACACAAAAACAATCTAATGGGGGATAAGAACAGATGTTTTGATTGCTAAGCTCTGAATATGTTTACCAAAACTGCGTTCTTATTCTTGACCATGTTATATTTTGTCATTAACACTTTTCATGTAGAACCCACGCCGATTCTGCAAAATCCACCTCTTCTGAAACAGACTGCAATGATAACGTCCCTTCTCATAAAAATCCTACTTCCTCCCAGAGCAAACATGGAGTGAATGGCTTTTTTCAGCAACAAATGATGTATGATTCTCCACCGTCACGTGCTATGTCTGTCTCTGTGGACTCCAGTCTTTACAACCTGCCCAGGAGTTACTCTCACGACGTTTTGCCAAAGGAGTCTCCATCGAGTACTGAAGCAGATGGAGAACTTTATGTTTTTAACACCCCACTGGGGACGTCCAGTGTAGAGACTCAAATGAGGCACGTTTCTATTAGTTATGACATTCCTCCAACACCTGGTAATACTTACCAGATTCCACGGACATTTCCAGAAGGAACCTTGGGACAGACATCCAAGCTAGACAATATTCCAGATATCCCTCCACCTCGGCCACCGAAACCACATCCAGCTCATGACCGATCTCCTGTGGAAACGTGCAACATCCCACGCACGGCCTCAGACACCGACAGTAGTTACTGTGTCCCTACCACAGGGGTGCCGCCGTCACGTAGTAATACCATTTCCACCGTGGATTTGAACAAATTGCGAAAAGGTCAGCTTTAGTTAGTTTTTACGCTATTAGAGGTTAATGACAGAAAATCTGTTTTTCCAACTAATTGTTCTTTTAAGTGTAGTATAGTGTGCAATGGTAGCCTGTTTTTTTCTTCAGCTCTGCAGAAAGAGCTGGTGTAGCCAAGATCTGAGAGTCTCAGTGGACCAGGGAAGGCTATGTGTGCAAGAGTGTGTGTGTGTGTGTGCGCGCGCGCTCGTGTGCTCTGCTGGATGGGAGCAAGCTGGAGCTGCCCACTCGTGGAGAAGATGGCCCTCTTGATGCCTCTCCCGCTTTCCCTGCTCCTGGGTGCATAGGCTGTCTGCTAAAACAGGAGCAGGAAATGGACCAGCCACGAAGCCTCTCCAGGCTTACTCTTTCCTGTGTTTGTGTGCCATTATGGTCACTTCTGTGTCACATCTGGGCTCTGTTTCCTTCCTTCCTCTATAAGCAGTTTTCATGTCGTGTCTAGCAGGTGATCATTCTGTTAAAATCAAGCCCTTGTGCATTTTGTTTCTTTGAGGTCTATCTGATTCCACAGTTCTGCACTCTCCTCTTATCACTGGTCACTACAGTTACTGCTTGTGACTATTACTTTTCTTACACCGTCTCAAAGAGCCTGCAGTCAGAAATTAGAGCCCTTAAACTGTTGGGGAAATGGGTCTGGGTTATTCTCTGAGATTCTTCAAGTCCTAAATATAGAAAGCCCAAGTTTTTAATGCACATACTCTTTAAAACGATGTAGTAAAATTTCACATTAGGGTTATTCTGGCTAGCTTAAAAAAGAAAGAGATTTAATGTATCCTAAGAAATATTTTGTCAGTACTTACTTCTCATTCAATACTAGTTTCTAAATCTCTTCTTCGTGCATTTGGGTAGCCTAGTTTTAAGTTAGTGATATAGAAGTTAGGCCAAAGGTTCAATCTCATAATCAGATGTGGGTATTGTTTGTCATATAAGTATGTGTCTGCATTTTCTGGTGGTTTTGTGTGCCAGTGTGAGGTAACATTCTGTGAGCATCCCTCTAAATCAGGGTGTGCAGAGAAAGAAAGAGAATAGATCGTTCCTGATTGCCCTGAGCAAGGCAAAGATGGAAAATGCTGATATAGTTTGTTCTTTATTCTAGATGCTAGTTCTCAAGACTGCTATGATATTCCACGAACATTTCCCAGCGATAGATCTAGTTCACTTGAAGGCTTCCATAACCACTTCGTAAGTATACATGACCTTAGCATTGTTGAGTGTATTTCATTGTCAGAATCTTCCCACTCAGTACCTTGAGACTCATTGAGATCACAAAATGAAAGTACCTTCAGATTCATTGAATGGATGTGACAGTTGTATCTTCATGTTTGACAATGGTTATTGTTTATTAAAAGAAATGTATGTGTGTTTTAGAAAATCAAAAATGTATTGACAGTGGGAAGTGTTTCAAATGATGAACTGAACGAAAACTACGTCCCAATGAATCCCAACTCGCCTCCACGACAGCATTCCAGCAGTTTCACAGAACCCATTCAGGAAGCCAATTACGTGCCAATGACTCCGGGGACATTTGATTTTTCTTCATTTGGAATGCAAGTGCCTCCTCCTGCTCATATGGGCTTCAGGTCCAGCCCAAAGACCCCTCCCAGAAGGCCAGTTCCTGTTGCAGACTGTGAGCCACCCCCAGTGGATAGGAACCTCAAGCCCGACAGAAAAGGTAAGAGGAACATGCCAAGTGAGAGGATTGGGGAGTGTGCCAAGTTAGAGCTGAAGTTAGCGTCCTGGAATATTTCCTCTACCTTGGACATCAGTTTAGCAAAGCAGTACTGCTATTTATAGATTAGCAACTTGCACTGATGCCCAGGTGAGATTTGTAAATCTCTTATCCCTAGGTCAAGATTACAAACTTATTAAAATACCCAAAGGAATACCCAGGCAACGGGGGAGAATTAGGAGAAACTGGAATGCCCTGCCCCATCTATATGGGGTTATGACTTGACCCCTACTCGGCTGCAATCTTTTTTTTTTTTCATGTTATACATTTAATGGGAGGAAATAAAATGTTATATAAATAGTCTGATACATAAAATGTTATTTTTTAGATCATACATTTTAAATCTCTACATGTTCTTGTGATGCTTCCTAAAGTAGCTTTTAACTGGATTTATTAGTAGATCCTGGGGCGGGAAGCTCTAACTGATTCAGATTCAGGTCAAGTTGGCAACATCTTTTCTAGCTTTGAGGGTGTCTGCCATCCCCCCTGTGGATCTTCTGGCAACTGCAGGTGACAGAGTGACAGATGCTATGGCAGAGACTTGTGAGCCATCTGAGCAGATGAGAGGGAGCCTAGAGACTGGTCCCAAGATGGCCTGAAATCCTTTTTTGACTTCCGAAGCTGTGGGCTTATACCAGCAAATCTCCTGGTGTAACAAGAGAACCCAGAAATCTAGGATTTTGTGTGTATTATCTCTTGATGATACAGAGATTATCAGACCAAACCCAACACTTCTACAAGGTATATATGGCCTTTCATTGCTACTTGGTGTAACCTCTTCTTCAGAGAGTACACAATCAAATCAGATTTAGGATTATTTACAACACATGACATAATTACAGCTTTCTATCTACCCATGCAACAACTTTTTAAAAATTAGTTTGCCTTGGCTGGGGAATAAATAAATGCTTCTAAATCTACTCTTTTTACTGGACGTCGTAAGTAACATTAAATTCTGTAGCATAGTTCATTAAAAGTTCTCAGTAAAAGAAACTTTTTAGCCAAGTTGGGTTTTACTCAGGTTTTCAAAATTTATGTGTAAGTCATTTAAACACAAACAACCTGCTTCTGTTGCAGCATGCTGTTGGTGTGACTTAATCTTGACAGCCAAATAAATTAGCATCCATGTGATGAGTGATACAGCTTCTGGCTTAGTGCAGGGGTTGTCAGCACATTGAAAAGCCTCCTGTGCTAAATGCAATTTTTAAAGAATATGTAATGTTTGTGTATATTTCTCATTAACTAGATTATTCGTACTAGTTTTAATTAAGTTCCAGTTGAGGGGACCAGTGAGTAGCAATCAAACTAGCTTAAGAAAAATGTTTTGGTTTGATTTTAAAGTAGGGGTGTAACCATGCTGGAAAAAGGCTCTAAGGGGAAACTGAGACCATCCTGTGTCCTGCTCTCCCTGCGCTCGGGCTCCTTGGAAATCTTGGCCTCTGCTTTGTTCTCTCTAGCATTCTCCCCTTCCTTTCTTAACTCTTAACTCTTGATCCTCCACCGGAAGAGAGGTGTGCTTTCAGAAAGCTTTTGCCTGGAGCGCCCCCTGTGGCCTCTGTTCTGCCCCCTAGCTGCTTCTCAGGAGCACTTGCAGCACCCACTTCAGCTTCCAATTGCCTCCTTCGTTATTTAGTCCCTTTGGATTGCATAGACATGATGGGGTTGCTCTAATATGACTATATATAAATGTATAGCCCTCCAGACTTGAAGTTAAAATACCTCTTATTCCTGACTTTATCATGTGAGTGCACTGTAACTAGGAAGGAAGACTGAAATTCTGAAAAATGCACCAACTCTAATTAATGGAGGCTGATTCCCATGGTAACTGTCGTGATCCCACTAATTTGACTTTTCACACTAGGCCACGTGATAGATTAAGATCAGCCCACAGATTGACTGCTGATGGCTCAGGTGTCCACCTGGGGACCCTGAGCTGTGAAGAAAGAGGTTAGGGTGTGAGTGTCAGGGGGTTTTATTCAGTAATATTTGCTTCTGTTTCTCTCAGTCTTCAGTTGTCTCTAATTCTTATTGTAGACCTTAGTCAGATTCTTCTTTGCAGACAGTATACAAAAAGCGTTTCTAGACATGGATGAATTTATAGTACATTTGTAGATCTTGGAAGGATTGAGATACAAGCACCATGACCTCTGAAATATTGAAATGTCTTTTTAAATGTTAACCTGGGCTTTCCGCGTTTACCTTGGTTCATGATGGCAGCAGCGCTCTTCGTTCAACCCCAGATTTTTATCTTGAGGTCCCATGTAATGTGGAGGTGGTTCGGTTTGGGGAATGGTACAAGGCTCTATGTCTGATTTAGCCTGTGTTTCCCATATTATTTCATAAGTGTCCACTTTATGCTTCACAATTGTGTCTCCTGGTGAATGCAGTGAAAGTACCATGCACTGTAGTACATGAGGGTTCAGTTGTCCTAGTCCTTCCAATCAAAGGTTCTCTGTCACTTGTTGAGATTGTGTTCATTTTTTAAAAAAATTAGCAGAGAGAGAAAAAGGCCTGCTGGTGTAGCTCAGTGTTAGAGCGCTTGCCTAGCATCTGCAAGACCCTGGGTTCCATCCCCAGCATCATAAAAATTAACTGATCTAGTAATTTAATTAAAATTATCTGAACCATTCAGAGTCCACCCTGAACTCACTGGTCGGATTATTTGTTTGATATATTTGCTTAGTTACAAAATGAACTGATAAAGTGTGCCCAGATTAAAACACCCATATAGTTTTTTAGCAAAACCAGGAGCTGTTTTAGTTAAATAGTAAAGAGGTAACTCAAATCATACTATTAATTTTTTTTTCTTTTCCTTAATACCTTTATACTTTGAAATAAATATAATACAAGAAAGGAGGCATGAGAAAATACTTAATGTGACAGGGAAAGCTTTGTAAAGTTATAACCATTAAAGAAAACATTGTTGAAACCCAAGTTCAGATCTCAGAGCCAAGTTTATCCTTGAATCAAAACTGTAAAACCAACTGTCTTACTTGGTTGTGAAATCCTTCTCATTATTCCTTAGCATCAGATGAGTGTTTTAATTTCAAATTCTGTGACATCAGATAAATGACTTAATCTGTTTTCCAGTATCTCTTTTTAAGTGAAACTCATAAGAAAACCTTTCTGTGAAATATGGGTCAGTTAGTTTTGGAGCCCCATAATACTAGTTCGACACCCAGGATAACTGAGTTTTGTGATTTTTCTTCTTAGAAAGGGCCTACAGCAAATGAGTGACATTCTGGTCTTGTTTACTAGCCCAGTTTTAGACATCAGCTGCTGTAGTTTGGAGTACATATGAGTTTTTCAAATACTTCTGAGTAACTGAAACTGCAGAAATACATAGAGGGCTGATATCTGAACCCTTATCAGGTTCCTTATCAGGAACCCTTGGCTGTCATCCAGTGCATGGTAGCTACATTTTCATCAGACTCTTTCTGTAACTATAGTATTTACTGTGTACCAAACGTTACATATATTAATAGAAGAGTAACATGTTTAGCATATTGTGTAAAATGCTGGGAAAGCAGATACATCACAAAGACAGGACAGATTGTTTTGACTACTTCAACTCAAAGTTTTATTTTTCTACTGGAAAAGTAATTTTGTAAAGTTTGGAAATTTTTTGTAAGATTACCTATCATGTTTTCTCAAACGAAGTCATTATATAGATGTACCATATTTAATCCCTAAATGTACCCATGCCCCATCACCCTCATCCTGCCTCTAACACGATACAGCAGCTATCTGAACACCAAATGCAGTCTTTATATTTTATTCAATTTTGTCCATTCATGCTGCTCTGTAGTAGCTTAGAACATTAGTTATGGTATTGATTTTTAAAAGCAGTGCAGGATTTCTTATGGTATTTTTGTACCTGTTTTGGTTAAAGTATGTTCAGGTCTGCGACCTTACCTTGGTAAAGGAAGTGTCCAGAAGACTAATCCCAGGGAGCTCCTACCCTCCATGCATCTGTTTTTGGAATAGTGATGTATTTAGACTTTTTTTTTTCTCCAAGAGATCACCTAAAGAAGTTTTCAACTGTGATTAAAACATAACGTGCTTTAAAAAAAAATAAAAAAAGATAAGACTACATTTTTACAATACTCAGCACAGGGGCTGCTGATTAGAATAAGCAGCATCCTCCAATTTTTCCTCAGAGGGGAGATGAGACTGGCTCAGATATTTGGAGGGTGAATGAATGATACAAGTAAATATCTTGATAAATAGGTGTTAAAGTTTGTGCTTTGAGTTAAACTTGTTGCAGTTTATAGGAAGTAAGTATGGAGCTCCTTTTTACTCCATACTTATTATCATGTGGGGTTTTTCCTAAGTATTCTTGGCCTACAAGTATGATTACCATCATTACATCATTATACTCATCTTTATACAGCAAGACCATTACAACAAGTATAAACATTTTTCAGAACTCTGCCTTGACTTTTTAGAATACGCAGAGGAGGGGCTGGAGTTGTAGCGCTTGCCTAGCATGTGGGAGGCACTGGGTTCAATTCTCAGCACTGCATAGAAATAAGTAAAATAAAGGTCCATCATCAACTAAAAATGTTTTTTAAAAATAGAATTAGCAGAGGATAATAATCTTGTGAATTACTCTTCTCTTTTGATTTTGAAGCTGCCCCCTGAAAATAGTAGCATCATCTATAAAGCTTTTGGATAAATAAATACTGTAGGTTATGTCAGACCTGTAATAATACAGAAGGTAAATAAAATGTCCACATTGAGTTCAATGTCTGTGAGCATTACCTACAAGGACACCTGGTGTGTGCACTTTTCAGAGAAGATTGCATCTACTCAATTGAAATGTGGACTCTCATGACAGCCTTGACCATATTGGAGATGACCCACTTCTGAAATACATTCAGTTGTTACCTTTTCACTTTTAAAGGACAAGCAAAATGTGAGATGGATCAGTGAAACTCCAC